CGCCTGCCAGTCGCCACACACACCAACAGCACACAACAGCGGTCTACGATTTTCTCACCTTCTGCCGGCCCCCTAGCCGCCCCGCCACAACACAACGACACTCCAAGCAAATAACCCACGACCCAATAACACTGCTGTGTAGAGACTCAAGTATTTTTCATCGTTGGCCGAAGGGCTATGCATACAGCGCGACCGATGCAAAGAACTCACGCACTCAGGTCAAACGAGACCTCCCTATCTCCCTTCCCGGGGCTCCGGCTGTTGCACTAGTCCGACCACCGGTGACGGAAAACCCAACGGTGACGCCCCCCGTCACGCGGCCGCCTCCAAGCATCCAAGCACCTCAACACACAGCAATCTTGAGAGACGACAACAACGGGGGAACGGAACGCGAACCTGTTTCCTCCTCCCGCCCCGCCCATCCCCGCGAGATTTCTGAGGTCCCGCATCTTGGAGGACGGCAGAGCCTGCAGGTCGAGCATGTCCTCCACACTCCCCCTCCTTCCCCTTGTTCGCCGACAGGTTCTCGGAGATCGTCCCATAGGACGCGTTTTGGGCCTGTTGGGGTGGGGGTGAGGGGTGGATACTCAGGTAAACCAGTCGTTTGAACGTTGACCTCGCGTGCCGGGCCGGAGCGATACTCAGGGTTTTCGCCGGCCCAGGTTACGTTTGGATACCCAGAAACTGGAAATCCTCCTTATGTGTGTGGACGGGGGGGGGATACATACCAAGCGGGGTCAGGGTTGTGCGGTTGGGGGCGGGAGGGGAGAAGGAGGGCACTCCGTTTGAGTGGCCGCTGGAAGACGGGGGCAGGTGCATGTCAACATTTGCTGGTGGGCGACGGGGGTCGAGGGGCTTCTTACATCACCAAGTATCATACGAGACGGCTTCGGGTCGCCCAGAGTGTTCGCCGCCCACGCGCCCTACTACATGCGCGTACAGTTGTGTGTCAGTACAAAGACCACCTGTTGTGCCTTCACCATGCTGCCCAGGGCGGAACGAGGGTACGGTGCGGTAGGAGGCGGAGAGATAGCACCCCTCCTAGACCGATTTTCAAAGCTCGACTGTTCCACAACCAAGAGTGTGCCAGCACCAAAATGGTGGGGTTTCGGATGAACATCTCGTCGAGGGCTTTCCGTAGGCATATCGGGCTATTCCCGCACCCCCTTGGCCAATGGCGAACACCCGTAGCACGATGCAGCACACCCTTCATGCGACTCGCCGAATACCTCACGGCGCTTTGCGCTTGATAGTGATTTGAGAGCCTGGTCCTGTGGGAAACTGGCCTGCTCCGTCCGACTTTGTACATATGCGAGGTCAACGGGCTAACGACTACGGCATGCATGACTATGACTACACCCCCCCCCCCCCCCCCCCCCCCCCCCCCCCCCCCCCC